TTCTTCTTCTTCTTCTTCTTCTTCTTCTTCTTCTTCTTCTTCTTCTTCTTCTTGCTGCGTGACTTTCAATATTTACAAAAGCCCAAAGGCCCAATTTCTAAAAATGTTTTAGTAAGAGTTCTCTGCTCTTGCTATACAGATAGGTCATATTATTATAGTAAATGTATATGTGCCGAAGATTAGAGGAGCTACTAGAGAGTAACATACAAAGAAAGGCAGGAGGAGAAATAAGGATTATAGATGTTTGATAGGAAAGAAGGAGCAAAGCACACGAGAGCACCCGCCAACCGTCCACCCAAAGGCTCAAACTACTTACCATGTACAACACACAAGTCACGGACATTTCTTGGTCTTCAATACTCTGAGGAGACAAATGGATCAGCTGGATAATAATATGTGTTATATTTGTTTTTCTTTTTTAATTCTGGCATGAAAAAGTCTTTCGGTTTTTTGTGCATGCACGAATACACTTTTCGGTGAAAAAAACAACAACTAAAGAGCAAGTGAATAAGTAAATAGAAAGATGAATGAATAGATAAATGAATGAGGAAGAAATTCAAAGATAATACATAACAAAACAAAGAAAAATACACAAAAAACAATAAACATACACAATCTTTATTGATGAAATAGATGGATGAATGAATGAAAGAAGGAATGGATGAATGAATGAATGCACTGACCAGTTTATTGAGTGAGAGAAGAATGATGTCGACATAGATCCCTATCGGAGTGTACGGGCGCGACTTTCTGTCGTAGCCTGCCAGGATTTTGTTGCGTAGCGCGGTCTCGTCGTCTGGGCCATATGGTGCCAGTTTGTACTCTTCTTGGGCGCTGAGCAGACCTGGGGGAGGGGGGGGGGGGGGGGTGTTATCTTGTTTTAGTACGAGTTTTACGGTGTTTGTAACACAAATATGTCATATAAGTAACGAAGATTAGAGATATTACTAGATTTTAGTATTTGGTTTTAGTAAGCGTTTAGCAGTGTTACCACCACAAAAATAGGTCGTATTTTAATTAATAGCGAAGGTCAGAGGTGTTACTAGAGAGTAACATGCAAAGAAAAGATAAGGACAATAGATGTTTGATAGGATAGAAGGATCAAACCTCATCAGAGCACCCGCCAACCACTCACTGGAGAAGGATAGTAAAATATTATTATGATTATAGAAGGCGTTTTATAACTTATAAGCGAAACAACGAGAGAATGAGAGGGGGGGAGAGGGCGAGAAGGAAAGAAAGATGGTGGGAGAGGGTGGGAAAAGAGAGAAAGAGAGAGAGAGAGAGAGAGAGAGAGAGAGAGAGAGGGAGAGAGAGAGAGAGAGAGAGAGAGAGAGAGAGAGAGAGAGAGAGAGAGAGAGAAGGATATAAGCAGCGACAACCAAAAATGGACGCAAATAACAATTAAAAGTAAAATGTATAAATAAATAAATGAATGAATGAATGAAAGTATAAATAATAAATAAATAAATAAATAAATAAATAAATAAATAAATAAATAAAAAAAATAGAATAGATCTTTTATACTCACCACAAATGCTCGCGAGCAAAACTAGACAACAACAACTTTTAGCACTCATTGTAGATGGGGACTATCCTCAGCTGTGAATAGAGAAGGAGGGATGGAGGGATGGGGGGAGGGGTGGGGGACAGTTTTTAGAAATACTCAGAGTACTGTAAACTAGGGTATCAGAATCTTCAGGCAGTGATTTGCTGTACCTGAATTCATTAAATGTGTTATCATTTGTTTTCTTCGAATGGGCCAAAGGCAACTCGTTAGATAGAATATAGCCAAGTAGAGAAAAAGAAATTCATGTTCATTATTAACTGGATTTTGAACAAATAAAGTGATTTTTTTTCAACCTCAAATAGCCTCATACACAGGTGACCCATGCTCTGTATAAACCAGTCTCATATATGTACACAGGTGACCTCTGACCTATATAAACCAGTCTCATACACAGGTGACCCATGCTCTATATAAACCAGTCTCATACACAGGTGACCCTTGCTCTATATAAACCAGTCTCATATACAGGTGACCCATGCTCTATATAAACCAGTCTCATACACAGGTGACCCTTGCTCTTTATAAACCAGTCTCATACACAGGTGACCTCTGACCTATATAAACCAGTCTCATACACAGGTGACCCTTGCTCTATATAAACCAGTCTCATACATGTACACAGGTGACCTCTGACCTATATAAACCAGTCTCATACACAGGTGACCCTTGCTCTATATAAACCAGTCTCATATACAGGTGACCCTTGCTCTATATAAACCAGTCTCATACACAGGTGACCCTTGCTCTATATAAACCAGTCTCATACACAGGTGACCTCTGACCTATATAAACCAGTCTCATATACAGGTGACCCCTGACCTATATAAACCAGTCTCATACATGCACACAGGTGACCCCTGACCTATATAAACCAGTCTCATATACAGGTGACCCCTGACCTATATAAACCAGTCTCATACATGCACACAGGTGACCCCTGACCTATATAAACCAGTCTCATATACAGGTGACCCCTGACCTATATAAACCAGTCTCATACATGTACACAGGTGACCCCTGCTCTATATAAACCAGTCTCATATACTGGTGACCCCTGACCTATATAGACCAGTCCCAGATACACTAAATGTGCGTCATTGTGGTGAAATCAGACGCTTGTCGAAAGAATCAAATCGAAGAAATCGACATCATTTATTGTCTGCCCTTTGGGAAAACAAAAAAATGCGAATATCTTTTTTTTTTGCCGGGGGGGGGGGGGGGGTTGTTTTGAGGGGGTTTTGTGTGTGGCTCAACACCTGAATGAAATGTCTATTTAAAACACATATCTGTTTGGAATTTACTGAAAACGTTCATCAAAAGTACAAAAATGTACATTTTCAATTTTCAAGGACACTATATTTTGGAAGTCACCAAACTGTGGCGGTCATTTTCTCGCCAATTTTACTTCTGACACCAGGAGACCCGCACCTCCTTCAATCACAAATATTATCTCGACTTCTATTCGGATAGATGGGTATATTTTTCGTTCATCAGAAGCTAGACAAATGAACAAATGATTGTACTGAGAACTCCATACGCTCAGAAATTGACGAGCGCCTGATTCCAGCGTGTAGCGATGCACATGATTTCTATCCTAGTACAGTGTTATACTCACCCACAATTTTCACTCACCAGATTCCAAGCTCTCCTCCCTCAAACTACGTCGTTTCTCTGAATGTCTTGGTGTTTTTATACAGGGCACTCGTCTCTTGCAAAACACACTATGGAGCTCACTGATGAATGGTCAGAGATTTAAATGATTCAATTACGTCATACATCTCCAACAAAATCAGAGTCTGATCCTGAACCAGAAACAGACATAGTGAGCAGGCCGGCCATGCTAGGGGATCAAGCAATTCACAATTTCAATAATGACATTGATCGATCGGAGGTAGAGTGTACACACAGGTCAAACAGCGGCTGGCTTGTTAGAGTAACAAGGACCACAACTGAAAAGCTTTTAATGTTGTTCTGCTAATGGGCTTTGTTGGAGATTTGGAGCTGACTACCGGAACCAGGGAGTGGCTATGCAAGGCGGGATGACTTTTCTAAATGTTCGTTCAACACGCTAATGTGCTCTTTGGTCTTTGCACGGGTATCAGTAGGTTTCCTAACAGCAAAAAAAAAAAAAAAAAGAAAAAAAAAGAAAAAAAGAGTTTAGCTATAGTATCTATGTTCAGGCGATTTTCGTTACAGAAATTTCGTTGTCATAGCAACAGAAGAATTGAAAGTGAAAACATGATTTTAGGATTTGTAGGTGATAGATGAATTTGCCCAAACCCTTTTTTGAGTCACGGTAATGATGGTCAAGCCTCGGAATACTTCTAACCTCATTACGGTCAGAAAACTGTGCCTTGAACCAAGCAGTTGTTCAACTGATGTAGCAGTCTCTCCGGTTGTTGAAGAATTCTTTAAAAGAAAGAAGGCAACTCACGTACTACTGTGTCTTCTTGTCATGGAAACAAAAATGTTTTTGACCCCCCCCCCCCCCAAAAAAAAAAAAAAAAAAAAAAAACAACAACAGCAAACAAACAAACAACAACAACAACAACAGCAACAAAACAATAACAGTTTGAGCACGTGCCCCTCTTTACTCCGCTGTCTATACAAAATGTCGATGTGTTCACTAACAAGTGTTTGTGTCAAATGTCTGTGTTCACTGTCAAATGTTTGTGTGTTCACTACCAAATGTTTGTGTGTTCACTACCAAATGTTTGCGTGTTCACTACCAAGTGTTTGTGTGTTCACTACCAAATGTTTGTGTCTTCACTATCGAATGTTTGTGTCTTCACTGTCAAATGTTTGTGTGTTCACTGTCAAATGTTTGTGTGTTCACTGTCAAATGTTTGTGTGTTCACTGTCAAATGTTTGTGTGTTCACTGTCAAATGTGTGTGTGTTCACTGTCAAATGTTTGTGTGTTCACTGTCAAATGTTTGTGTCAAATGTTTGTGTGTTCACTGTCAAATGTGTGTGTGTTCACTTTCAAATGTTTGTGTGTTCACTGTCAAATGTTTGTGTGTTCACTTCTTTTTTAATGTTTGTGTGTTCACTGTCAAATGTTTGTGTGTTCATTACTTTTTTAATGTTTGTGTGTTCACTGTCAAATGTTTGTGTGTTCACTGTCAAATGTTTGTGTGTTCACTACCTTTTTAATGTTTGTGTGTTCACTACTTTTTTAATGTTTGTGTGTTCACTGTCAAATGTTTGTGTGTTCACTACCAAATGTTTGTGTGTTCACTGTCAAATGTTTGTGTGTTCACTACTTTTTTAATGTTTGTGTGTTCACTACTTTTTTAAATGTTTGTGTGTTCACTACCAAATGTTTGTGTGTTCACTGTCAAATGTTTGTGTGTTCACTACTTTTTTACTGTTTGTGTGTTCACTGTCAAATGTTTGTGTGTTCACTACTTTGTAAATGTTTGTGTGTTCACAACTTTTTTAATGTTTGTGTGTTCACTACCAGATGTTTGTGTGTTCACTACTTTTTTAATGTGTGTGTGTTCACTACCAAGTGTTTGTGTGTTCACTGTCAAATGTTTGTGTGTTCACTACTTTTTTAATGTTTGTGTGTTCACTACTTTTTTAATGTTTGTGTGTTCACTACTTTTTTAATGTGTGTGTGTTCACTACTTTTTTAATGTTTGTGTGTTCACTACTTTTTTAATGTGTGTGTGTTCACTGCCAAATGTTTGTGTGTTCACTACTTTTTTAATGTTTGTGTGTTCACTACTTTTTTAATGTGTGTGTGTTCACTGCCAAATGTTTGTGTGTTCACTACCAGATGTTTGTGTGTTCACTACTTTTTTAATGTGTGTGTGTTCACTGTCAAATGTTTGTGTGCTCGCTACCTAAGTGTTTTTAAGTTGCTTCTCAATGAGTCAATGAGTTAGTCCCCCCCCCCCCCCTCCCCCCCTCAATCGCAATCTTTCCCAATACACGTTTCACGTTTGCACAGTTCTAAAAGGTTACATCAAGTCAAAGCAATCCAAACGCTTGGAAAGCGGTCGATAAACACACAGCCCTGTCTGGCCCATTCATCTAGACGCACGAACAAACACTGGGCTTTGTCAGAAGGTGTGCCCTTTAACGTTTGTTTTTGTAAAGTGTTTTACGGCGCTCGCAACTGCATAAGGTCATATGAGCGCGCGGGACACATTAAACTTTTTCAGTTGGTAGGGAATTTTGAATTTTGCCCGGGTGGCGGTCAAAGCCTACTCTAATCGATTTTAGACCACAAAGGGATCTTTAACCTGCGCAACTTGCACACGGGCCCTCCGAGATTTTACGCCCTTGTCCAAGAAGGCTAGGTGTAGATCTTTCCTATTAGAAGATCAGGGGTGTGGCTGAAAGACAGTAGTAAGAAGATTAAGCCGAGTGGTAGCTGTAGACAGGCTGTAGAAAGAATCAGGAGCCCAGAGGAGGGGGGCAAAGGAGATGGGGGAGTGGGGGCAGAAAGAGGAGACGAAAGCAGACGACAAAACATTGCTAGAGAGCAGGAAATGAGGTGAAAGGAGACAAATTTAGAGAAGAATTTTTTTCGGTCACTACCCGGGTTCGAACCCGGGACCTTTGAATGAGAGGCCATTGCAGTGTAGCGAGTGTAACCACCATCGATATCAATTGTTTCTTTCATGCCATGCTTTCCTTTAATTTCTTATACCGCTTCCTGTGGAAAAGCGGGGGGCGTTATAACTTAGATGTGACATCACAGATTTTCAAACAAACCAGTGACAAACTGGCACCCCTCACCACCTACTCGCAATAAATACCAGCGGTGCACGGTGGTGAATTAAGTCTGTGACAATTAATGATAAAATTATTTATGTCGGTTGAGAAAAACTGCGCTTGTTTTTTAACTTGAAGAAGCTAATTGCGCCCCCTGAAATACCTGGCCACTAGGGGATGATCAATTTTTGCCGTTTTCCATGGACTTATGCGAAAATCATAAAAATCTAGATTGTGTTCTGAACAATTTCCGGTTCTCTTAGGACACTGCATTTCGATTCAATTTGAGCTGAATGAAGGGCGAGGGGGAGAATGTGCTGGACACAGTGTACTATAATGTTACTGCTGTTTCTTGTCCATCATTTGGGGGAAATGGAACTGCCCATAGTACCCACACTTCACAGCGAAACTTTTTATAAAGTGCAAAGGGCAGCGGCCATGACAGTATATGATCTAGCAATACAAGTCTATGTCTTTTACCTGTTGGGTCACCGTCAAAGACCCGGAAGTGGCAGTCATTTAAAAAGAATTTCGTCACAAGAAACGCTGAAACCTGAAACTGGTGGTTTGTGAAGAACCGGTAAACACTCTACTACCTTCGTTAGAACCAGGTAATTGATATTAATTACAGCTTCTTCTAATGCTTGGCCAGGAATTCCTGCTAGTTCAGTGTGCTACTAGACATTGATAAGGAAGTCTAAGTAAGCCTATGAGCCCAGCAGTGTGTCCAGTTATCAATCAACTCGCCAACTCTCCTGTTTTTTGTTTTTCGTTTTACAGTACAAGTGGTCTGAGTCACTTGTTTACTCAGAAGAAGCCCTGCCGAATCTTTTCCAATATCTTCTGTGTGACCGTGTTTCCGGACACCACCGGTTTTTACATTCATTTCTTATTTTGTTTTGGGTTTTTTTTGCAAAGTGTATACAGACCCGGTAACCGGGAACAAAGTCACGAAGGTACAGACCCAGTAGGGGAACTCTTTTGTGATGTCGGAAAGTTTTAGCGCCCAGACTCGGTAGTCTGTGTGTGTGTATGTGTGAAGGCCACCTCTATTCTCACCCGGAGTGAGAATAGTGCAGGCGAGTCTTGTGGCTATTCTCACCCGGTGCGCGTTCACCAAATTTTGCGTTCACCCTAAACCACAGAATTCTAAGTCTACACTGTGATAACAGAAAAATGGTAGAATTCTGTGCCGTGAACAAACGTTCCATTACAACTGTAGCCTACTAAAAGCGTACAATTTTGTCTGTGGGCAGTGGAGAGAGAGAGAGAGGAGTAGCGCGAGAATTTCCGGGCAAAACAAAATGGCGACCCGAGTAGTTCGGCTCGATTCGAAAAGTTAAATAGCCGTAGCATCTTTGTAGACAACCAAATTAATTTACTTTTGTGTTTTAACATAATTTTTTAACTTTGTTTTGGTCAATTTGATCGTCCACACCGAAAGACAGTTTTCAGAAAGAGACAGAGAGAGAGAGAAGAGGGGAGGAGTTGATCTTGCGAGAACTTCCGGGCGGGTGAGAATAGCCACTTTCATGTGTGAAAGAGAGAGAGAGCAGGGGGGAAGTGCTAGCAAAATGTATATGACATGCCCCAGTTGACAGGAGGGAACGAGAGAAAGATAGAGTGGGAAATAGGTGGGGAGAAAGAAAGACGGAGACAAAAAAAAAAGGCCGGCACTATTTCTCCGAACGTTCGGGAAAATAAAGCTGGGCACTATTTCTCCGAACGTTCGGGAAAATAAAGCTGGGCACTATTTCTCCGAACACTCTGAAATATCATCCTTTCCCCCAAATTTCGGATATTATATAGATCTATAATTATAGTATGGGCCTACCAAAGATTGTTCGTATACAATATGGTTCAATCGGTCCAAAAAATGTCCGCCGTAAATATTTATATAAAGAAATGCTACAATTCCAAACAGTTTTTCGCTATAGATATGACGTGTTGCCTATGAAAGGTGCTGCTTTTAAACGTAATGTGTTGTGTTCACTCGTGTGCTGTCTAGATCTAGATCTACGGAGGGTTATTGATAACTACACATAGAACTGGCATCTGCGTTTGTCACTGCTGCGACCAATGTACTGACACTGGCAAGCCCCTTAATGTGTGTGATTCCATAATTTACATGTAATATCCTGTACTTTTTAAAAAAAATTACGCACATTTAGGGTTAAAACTGCCAATCTTCTTCGGACAGGTGGACACACGCCCTTATTTGTTAATGTTTGTTGTTGTTTATGGGCTGTTCTAATTTTGATTTCTTTCTGTTATGAAACCTTTCTTTTTCACGTTTTTACACTCATCTAAAAATCTCATCTAGACTAGCTGTTGAAAATTTAAATAGATATAGACCCAAAAATTTGCTCCTGTGTGTGTGTGTGTGTGTGTGTGTGTGTATGTATGTGTGAGTGTTTGAGTGTGTCTGTGTGTGGTAGTAAGTGGAGAGTGAGGAGTGTGTGTGTGTGTTTGTTTGTTTTTCGGGCTTTATTTCAGCCTTTATTCAGTAACAGTTCAAAGTATACAAAAATAGAAACACAGGATCCATTCACTCCAGGACTCATGAGTCATTCGTCTCTTTCAGTTTCACTCTTTCATTCAATTCCCGTGTTCTCTCCCGCGGCTCATCCCCGTCCGCAGGACTTTCATACCCCACCCCATCCCTCCAGGCACACACAAAGAAAATCTCACTTGTTCCCTGCGAACCATGGACAATAATATAGGCAAAACACCGCCTGAGCTGCATTCCTTTTGTTCGTGAGCTGTGGACCAGGCCAGGGGTGGTCAGTGTCGTCATCTTTTAGTTGCTGTCGCCTGTGGATACACTCGCACATTCTTCCATTCACCCGCTCTTTCACTCACACTGTCTCTCCATCCACAGTTCAGCTCGTCATACGTTCAAAAGTTGCCCACTAGTTATGTTTAGTTAGTGTGTGTACATGTGCATGATGGTGGTGGGTGTGTGGTGGGTGTTACTGAAGGTTGTCTGTAGGCGGGCTTGCCATGCGGTACGTGTTCCTTCCCAGACCAGAGGCAGAGGCAGAATGAAAGTTGGCTCCGAACTCTCGCAATAAATAGGCAAAAAATCACGAGACCGGAAGCCGAAAACCGTTCGGAGAAATAAAGATCGGCACTATTTCTCCGAACGTTCGGAGAAATAGTCACTTCGAAAAAAAAAAAAGAGAATGCGAGTGATACACAGAGACAGAGAGGAGAGAGAGAGAGAGAGGGTGACTGCTCAATTGAAATTATGACATTACATTCTTTTCTTCAAATTGTGATTCCTCCAACTCCAAAAACGGAGGAAAAACAATCGTTTATCGAAAAGACATCCGCAATCTTCATATTTAGATGGAAGAGGCTAGCCGTACTTAATGACGGCTAGACTGGCAGTCTAGCCGTACTTATTCTTAATATGATGGCTAGACTGACCTATTTACAAAAAATAGGCCTACTGAATTGTAAATATACATTTTTAGTGTGCAGTACCTAAAGTCTTTGTATTTGAGACGAAACCAGGTGCCTTAATGACAGTGCATGTGTATTTTAAACCTCCTGTTTTCTAATATTAATAGTAATAATAGGGCCTAAGATAAGTACGGCTAGACTGGCAGTCTAGCCGTACTTAAGTACGGGTAGACATCCAGGCTAGCCGTACTTAAGGACGGCTAGACTGTCAGGCTAGCCGTACTTAATATTGATGACTGAATTGTAAATGAAATTTTTAGTTTGCAATGCCTAAAGTATTTGTATTTCAGACAAAACCAAAAGGTGCCTTACTAACTTGCATGTATTTGAACCTGAATGATTGCTAGATATAGATCTAATGAGACCTGTGTACTTAACAGGCTTGAGTCGATTGGGCCAAACCTAGACTTAAGTACGGCTAGCCACTTCGTATTTAGATCTAGATCTAGGCTAACCTCGCAACTAGATCAATGATTTTTATGTCTGTCTGTCTAGATCTAGACCAAGGCCATAGAGCTAGAAGAACCTAGGTCTAGGCCTACACTAAGTCCCTGAGCCAAGAGGGTGCTCTGCTGAAACTTTCCGAAATCTCAAAAGAGTTCCCCTACCGGGTCTGTATACTTTGTGACTTTGTTCCCGGTTACCGGGTCTGTATACACTCCCTTTTTATCGTGGAGCGTTTGTTTTTCTAATTGCCGGCTCTATTTCTCCAAACGTTCAGGGAAATAAACTTGGACGTGAACTTTATTTCTCCGAATGGTTTCCGTTCTGATAATACACGAATGGAGTGGCGTGTGAGTGTGTGTGTGTAAGGTGTGAACGGGGGTGTGTGTGTGGAGGGATTTTTTTTAAACCTGAAAGAAGATTTTAGTTTTTGCTGGGTGACTAGATGTAAATGCAAAATAGGTTACTGCCAAGGTCGAGCAGTTTTGTTTTCTCGCAGTACCTTTAGAAGGTATTTTCTAAGCTAGGGCAAAGTCGGCGAATAAGAAAGTCGGAAAGTCGACTCGACGTTTTCGTCAAACTCTAAAAGTCGACTGTGACTGTGACTTTGACCTTGACTTTACATAGAGTGAAGCTACGACTCCCTATGCTCTTATAGCCTACATGGTCATAGGTTTTGGGCTGACTACTCTATTTTTAGCTCTTCAACTACCGGCTTTGGAAAACAAACGTTGTGGGATTACTGTAAGCCTCTAAAAGTTTGTTTCTGCACAAAATTTATTTAATCTTACTTATTCGTTTTAAAAATCAGAATTGAGCTTAAAAATAATTCATATAACCTACATATTTATGTGTAATCAACTGTTTTGATTTCATAATTATTTACGTGTGTTTTTGAACAACCAAATCGGATCTCTTGAAATTTGAACGAATGCTATAATTATAATATTACAGTGAAGCCAACAAAATAACGTAAGACAGCCAAGACAGCAATCATTAGTTTTACAGTAATTGTTCCAGTGACGGTGACTGCGACTGGCACGTCAGTACTGCACGGCACTGCAACGCTGCAGGCCAGCCAGCCTCGCCCCGCACACACACATGCACCCACACACGCGCGCCTGCACACACACACACACACACACTCACACACACACACACACACACACACACACACACACACACACACACACACACACACACTTGGGCCTAGGTCTTGATGAAAACTTTTTTTTCTTGGCTTGCTCTAACTTCGCCGCACCCACCCCACCACCAACGTTGACGACTCCCCGTTGAAGGACAGGGGAGGCTGGTCTTGATCAACGCTAGGCTAGGTAACAGTCGAGAGTCACGAGCGACTGGTAGATGAGGGTCACAGCGTCGATCTTGGGCTCACAGTCGACTAGTAAAGTCGATTTTGCCCGAGCCTAGTATTTTCAAATGAAGTATAGTCTGAAAACGTTGCCCCAACCTCAACTGAAGTATCTGAATCAGACATTATATAAAAATCTCTAGCTCTAGAAAGTGAATTTGATGCAAAAAATGCTTCCTCCCTCCCAGTCCTCACAGAATGGCAGAATGAAAGGATGACGCTTAAATCTCGCAAATAACCAAAAAATCTCGAGATCAGACTTTTCGGAGAAATAGAGTTCAACTTTATTTTCCCGAGCGTTCGGAGAGATATAGTCACTTTGTTTTGTAATTCCATTGCTTGGCTTAGAGACTCAGATGTCAAAGCTTTTTCTTTTGGCCGGCTCTACTCTATTTCTCCCAACACTCTGGAAAATACACTTTCAACTCTATTTCTCCGAACAGTTTCCGTTCTCGAGATTTGTTGATATTTGCGAATGGAGTGGCCCCCGCACGCTCGTACGTGTGTGTGTTTGGGATTGAGTGTGTGTGTGAGTGAGTGTGTATGTTTGAGTGTGTGTGTGTGATTGAGTGTGTGTGTGTGATTGAGTGTGTGTGTGAGTGAGTGTGTGTGAATGAGGCACGGGGGCGGGTTGGAGGGATTTTTTTTCTTTACGTGAAATGATTTTAGTGTTTGCTGTAGGGGTGACTAAATGCAAATACAGTCGAACCTGTGTAAGACGGCCACCCATTGTCAAGGAGAAAAGTGGCCGTATAAGACAGGTGGCCGGCCTAGGCAGGGCTGGTCAAGATGAAGAAAACAAACCATTCCTTTCTGTTGTTTTTGCTGGGGGGGGGGGGGGATCGTTTATTTCCCCTTTTGTTGCTGCTTTTGTGCAAGGGTGACAATAAAACGAAATGTGTCAGACAAGGAGGACCGAGTGCTATGGTAAAACAAACATGGGTCGCCACCACCCGGAGAACGAGCGACGCTTCTGTCGCAAGTTCATGTTGACATCCATTGTTGCTTTGTTACAGACTAGGTAAACAGTGACCACTCATCTCACTTACGATTTGTGTGTATGAGTTCTGGGAGCGGCTTATGGGTTATGAGGGATCACACGCTTACCTCACCAGCAGAAGAAAATTTGTTACCTATTGGTCAACAGTGGGAGGGGTCTACGCAACATGGTTAGTTGGAGGGACTACCTAACAACGACAGATGATTGGATTATGACAGCTCGCCCACAGCGCCAGGGGCTAATGCACAATTCATGACAAAACGTAATGGAGTCACTAAGGTGGCCGTCTAAGACTGGTGGTATTGCTTAGTGTGATAGGGGTTATGTGTTAAAATATGGTGGCCGCGGCCGCTTTGGACAGGTGCCCGTTTTACACAAGTAAATTATTTAGAAAAAACGCAAGGGGGGAGATGAAAAGTGGCCGTCTTTTAGAGGTGGCCGTCAGTGCAGGTTTGACTGTAGGTAACTGCCAAGGTCGAGCAGTCCTGTTTTCTTGCAGTACCTTTTGAAGGCATTTTCAAATGAAGTATAGTCCGGAAACGTTGCCCCAACCACAACTGAAGTATGCTTCTTCCCAGTCCTTGCAGAATGGCAGAATGAAAGATGACGCCTAAATCTCTCAAGTGATAAAAAAGTCTCGAGAACGGAAACCGTTCGGAGAAATAGAGATCAAGTTTATTTTCGCGAGTGTTCGGAGAAATAGTCACTTCGTTTTCTTTTTTCTCTGTCAATGTCAACAGTTACCACATCATAATCATCCAAAATGACAGTCTCACCCTGTCTCTATCCCAGGCTAGCCTCTAGATAAGATATATAGAATTTTATATGCGGCGGCTGTCCGTAGTGTTAGCACTTTTGTTTTTTTCTTTTTTTGAAGAGGCTAGCCGTACTTAATGACGGCTAGACTGGCAGGCTAGCCATACTTAGTACAGCTAGCCACTTCGTTTTTTTTTACTTTCTGGGTAACTCTTCGAAACAAGTCTCCACTTGGTCCTTGGACTTGGTTTGAACATTATCATTAAAATGATTGTACATGTTTATAATGGACTTATACTGCCTTTTTGCTCGTTAGATTTGAAATTCTTTTTGTGCATTTGATATCATGTTCCTCAATTTTATACCTGTCCAAGAAAAAGCATTTCTCATGTTAGAAGGAAGAGGCTAGCCGTACTTACTAACTATTAAATGATGGCTAGACGGGTGGGCTAGCCGCACTAAAATAATAATGATGGCTAGACTGGCAAACAACAAAAAATAGGCCTGCTGAAATGTATTATAAATAAATTTTTAGTTTGCCATAAACGTAAAGTATAAATTGTATTTGAGACGAAACCAAAAGGTGCCTTACTGACAGTGCATGTATTTTAAACCTGAATAGTTACTAATGAGGCGTGTGTACTCAACAGGTTTCTAATAGGGCCTAAAATAAGTATGGCTAGCCGTACTTACGGACGATGAGATTGACAGGCTAGCTGTACTTAATGATGGCTGAATTGTAAAAATAAAATTTTAGTTTGCAATACCTGTATTTCAGGCAAAACCAAAAGGTTCCTTACTGACATGCATTTTTTAAAACCTGGAATTACTAGATCTACGAGACCTGTGTACTCCACCGGTTTCGGTCTATAGGGCCTAATCTAACCTAGATCTAAGTACGGCTAGGCTAGACTTGCAGGCTTGAACGGCTTGAGCACAACTCTGTTGGAACAAATGTGTGTGTGTTTACAAAATATGACAAACACTACAGCATTGCTCATTAGGATGATCCTCACGCTTTGCAAGGCATAAAAACCTCTTGTCTTTATACAACATCCTGTCTGGGTATAACACTAAATGACCAACTATGTAATTAAGATGAAAATGTTTTTATATAAGCATACACTCATTGTCAGCAATCACTCTTTTCTCAGTTAACTTAAAATAGCTTTAGTGTTTAAAGTTGTAGTTAATGTCGTATCATTTGAACAACAGGGATTTTAATAAATTGGAATATATTTGTGTTATTATTTTCATGTTATTTACATTTAGGTCGAACTCCCAACTGCTACAAGAATGACGGCCAATCCGTACTACCCTGTGACGACAGTGTCCGACTCGTCTCATTTAGCCGATGATGAATGGGGCCTCACCATGCCCAGTGTGCAGTATGCCAAACACTCACGGACCAAGAGGTGAGTTACGCTCAAAATTGATCAAAGTGATATGTGAAGTATCGTGGTGTAATCTGGCACTTGTCCAAAAAAAAAGAAATGGAAGAAATCAACATTTTTGTCCCTGTTGGACATCTTTTGTAGATTTTGTTTTGTTTTGACTCGACACCTTTTATTCAAAAACACTTTTTTCTGTGTGGATTTTATGAATAACGTTGATAAAAGTCACATAAAACGTTTATGTATTTGCAATTTCCATTAACAAACTTTGGCAGTAATTTTCTCACTGATTTGATATCTGATACCATGTGACCCCAAACTTCTTCAGTCGCAAATATCTCGACTTCTGTAAAGAAATTATGAACTTTCAAGCCCGGATATGTGAAAAACATGAGAACAGAGCCCATATTAGTCAATGGTGGTTATGTCCCTAACCATTTCTCACATTGTTTTTTCAGGCCCGCGATAGCTTGAATTAATTGAATGAAGATAGTGTAGTGTTGTTGGTTTGGAAAAGTTAGCGTCTATGAAGAAAGCTGGACAAGGGATTGTTGCACAGGGTAGTGTTTCCTTTTATTTTTAGTTTTAGTAGAGGTTTTACGGCACTCGAGTGGGAGGCAGAAAAAGTTGTTGACGGATCAATTTGGATTTTTAGCCTTTTTCTAAAGCAGGTGTTGATAAATTTCTCCAGCCTTGCAGAACAACTTTTTTTTGTAAGTTTTGTTCTGGTGGGGTATGTTAATTTATTATATATATAATTTGTTGCAGGTTCAAGTCAGCCTGTGAGGGAGTGAAAAACCTGCCGCGGTGTGCAGTGATCATCTTTGTCACTGTGTGTGTGTTCATCCTTATCTGTATCATCATTGCGGTTGCCGCTAGCAACAGGGGGGAGAAACACCCCACAGGAAATGAACCTATGAGAGTACAGCAAACACTTGGTGAGTTTTTGTTTTGTTTTTTTAACCACAGGAAGTACACTGTCCAAGACAATCAGTCACGTGTAAAATGGCTACTTCTCACTTCTTCCTTTCGGTTTAAAAAAATGTAATGCCACTGTCCAAGATCTCCGCCCGGCTGAAGTAACCACTTTCCCCCAACCGTAGGTGGCCGTATCGGACAATTTTGACTGAATGTATAATATATATCTCAGTTTTGTTTTTCTTCTGTATAACGCGGATAGGTAGAACCAGAAAACTCGAAATCACGCATCTGTCGAACGGGAGGACTTCCGTAACGAGCGACCACTATGAGACAGAGCAGAATTGAGGGCTTGGGGTAGGGGTAAGGGTAGGGGTAGGGGTAGGTCTAGGCCTCTTCTTTATTGTGTTTGATTGGGTGGTCGCTCGTTACGGAAGTCCTTCCCATTCAACTGTGCCTGCCGTCCCAGTTGTTTTTTTTCTTCTGTAACATTTAACTTTGTAAGATATCCCTGGAACTACTGAGGCTTGTCCCGATGAATTCGACCTTTCTGTGTTATACTGTATATATGTATATCCCAATTTTATTTATCTTTATTATATTTTAGTCATTCCGGGAGTGAGGTTCTTTTTGTGTGTGTAAACTTTTTTTAAATTTCTGTGCATATGATATATATAAATATATATATGCAAAGTTAAATTTCTGTGCATATATATAAAATAATATATATGTGCAAAGTTCTGTCTTGTTGTGATGCCTTGAGACATGCTGGTCATTGTGTAGTAACTCTTAAACGGAATATAAAAAGAACGTCTCATGTAATGATTTTAGAATTAAAAAACAACCTTTTTCTCGTGAATTTTTCCAGGTTTGAATTTCTACCCAGTGCCAGCGGATATTTCCACCGTGATTCGGTTCAAGAAGCACTCATTTAAGAAAGATGAGCCGATTAAAAAGACAATGGATGAAGTTCTGGAACGTAAGTATGGCAAGTTGTACGTGTGGGGCTGAAAGTTGATTGAACTTTCCCTTTTTTTTCTTCACATTTCACCTTTTCCTTCCAAGGACAGTCTTATAGCATGGGTCTCAATAGTCCGCTATTTAGCGGATTTCTGCTACTGCCATTTCCTCCGCTTAACTCCGCTGCCGCGACAGCGGGTCAATTAGAAGGTTGCTGGGAGCAGAGTGACTACCAGGCCTCGATAACGTCTTTAAGTTCATTTTTGCTGGTCACGATTGTGATATTAATTCGGCTTTTCCCGATGTGAGAGTACGTTTCACGCGAACAGGCGGCTATGGCGGGAAGCGGAATTGTATGTGACTCCGAGCCTCGACCGGAAAATCAAGATCTCAGAAATTTGTCTGTATAGAAGTCTGAATACGCAACATTTGTAACATGCAGGTTCTGCATTACAAACGTGCTGTCGCCTTGAAAATAATGTTCGTCACTGTGCTGTCGCCTTGAAAATAATGTTCGTCACTGTGCTGTCGCCATGAAAATAATGTTCGTCACTGTGCTGTCGCCATGAAAATAATGTTCGTCACTGTGCTGTCGCCATGAAAATAATGTTCGTCACTGTGCTGTCGTTTGTGAGGGCCCAAAAAAGAAAAGAAGAAAAGAAAGTTATACAAGTGTCTTGTCGGGCTCGTCATTGTGACCGGTCAATGGACCTGCGCGCGTTCTGAGCGCTGTGAAGTACGGGACTCAGGAATGGGGGGAGATTATTGATTTTTTTAAAAAGATACACTCGGGGATGGGGGGAGGGCTGGACGCAACACCAGAGGACAAAAAAAGAAAAGAAATTTGAAGCAATTTTAATATTTAGAATTTTGATTACCACTACGGCTCTCTGCAAAGTGCGCGTTAGTGCATGCCTTGTGTATAATCGGGATCCGTCATAACTACTTGTAAGCGTGTTAATGAACTTAGGGCAGGGGCCTAAGTGTTAGCGTTTCATTGGATGGGTGACAGTAAATTATGTCTCTATATTTATTCGCAGATTTTCATTGTCACTGCATGTTACCCTCCCACAGTTCTTCCACCTCTCACACTGAATAGATTTAGTTGAGCTATTCAAGTTATAACTCTACTTTAAGTTTGAGCATTAATTTTGTCTTTCACGTTTATTATATGAATCATTACACCCAGACTGGTTCATGACAGTCGATATTCTGGGTCTGGGCCTTTTCCCAGGCTCAAAACAAGATTCATTTTTATATAGTTTATATATGCAGGCGAATATGATGAAGATAAAATATAAGTCGCACAAGACCACAGTGCGCCTCCACTTTCTGTACGTAATCAAGATTGTAAATATTTGGTAAGTGACTCTTACTTGAAATTATCTTCCAAACCCTCAAACTTGTATGAAATAACCTTGCTTTGATAAATTGATGGTTTTTATTTCAACATTCTAGGGTCCCACAGTATAATAATAGTGGGGGTCTCGCCAAAATGGGCTTCTGTCGCGATCACGCGGAAAGTTCCTCCTTTTTAAAAATTATGAGTTGAGACCCATGTTATAGGATGGTCTCTTTCACGGAGTGCCGAATTTTCAGGTGCATCCCGAAATCAGAATATCTGAAATTGTTAAAATTTGAGCCAACTGAAAGCTGATAGTCGATAAGTTGTACTTTATGTGAAAATAGTCTCCACACCAATAAAATACGCCGTAAACTTTGAGTCTCCACTTGCATATATATATTTCTATAGAATCCAAAAAAGTTGAAGATATTTTTTGAATTGACAATTAGCACCTCGCCCCATCTGCCTTCGTCTTCTCTTCCATTTTTTGGTTGATTTTGTATATTGTTTTAATGTATCCTTTCCCTTTTGGAATGTAAGCAATTCCAGTCTCCATTTCTGGATTACTTTTAGGTGCAACAACTTTTTAAACTACATGTCGCTAGGCGTGTAAAGAGATGAGTTCTTTATAATCTTACTTGATTGATTTTGGAGAGGCAAGGACTGTGCGTGGCACGATGTCGCGGCGCACATAAACAGACATAAACTCTTAATGAAAACAACGAAAATGACGAACTGACTCCAGAGATGCCAACCAGTACGATTGTGCGTATTTTAGTACGATTTTTTGCCGAAAATACGCGAATACGACTTTTCATGAAAAAATACGCATCCTGGAATGCGAAAAATACGAGATTCAGCTTGGGTGAGTAAACCTTATTATCTCAAGTCCCTTCTTTTGTCAGAGTAGTCACAGTATCGCGGAACTGGAATATTTGAAAACCAAGTGCGATAAGGTCAGTAACTTCATTTTTGCCGTTCGCGATTGTGATATTATATTTGTTCTGCTTTTCCCCGTCCGGAGAGTACGTTTCACTTTCACGCGAATTGGCAGCTATGGTGGCAGGCGGAAGCGTATGTGACACCGAGGCTCGATCGGGAAAATCAAGATCTACTTTCGCTTTCGCTACCACCGAGAAGTTTGCCAGCAGTTGTCATGTCTGATGACGCAACATTTGTGACATGCAGGTTGTGCAGCATAAACGCAATGTCGCCGTGCAAGTAAATGTAATAAATACTCGGACTCATCGCTTTGGCTGTCACATGAAAAAAAAAAAAAAGAAAAGAAAATACAAGCGTCGTCCGATTTTTAGATTGTCTTGCTCGCCATCGTGACCGGTCACTGAACCTGCGCGCATTCGCATCATAAATAAATGCGGCATCGTGTGAGTAAACACCGTCTTTGGTGGGAGTAACGGCCTTGCAAAGTATATGACTACAGAATAGGGGAGGAGATTATTGTGG